AAAAAAATTTTTTTGCATTTTTTATATTGCACTAAATAAGGGACATGGTGGCTCAGTGGCTAAGACGCTGAGCTTGTTGATCAGAAAGGTTGGCAGTTCAGTGGTTCAAATACCTAGCGCTGCGTAACCGAGTGAGCTCCCATGACTTGTCCCAGCTTCTGCCAACCTAGCAGTTCGAAAGCACGTAAAAATGCAAGTAGAAAAATAGGAACCACCCATGTTGGGATAGTAACAGTGTTCCATGCGCCTTTGGCGTTGAGTCATGCCAGCCACATGACCACGGAGACGTCTTCGGACAGCGCTGGCTCTTTGGCTTTGAAATGGAGATGAGCAACACCCCCTGAAGTGCGGAACGACTACACATATGTGTGAGGGGAACTTTTACCTTTAGAAGATCATTCATTCCCCGCTATCCTGTCAGAGCTGGAGAAGCTTCTTGGATGAGAAGTGAAACCTCTTCAAAGAAAAATACAAGAAAGTCCAGTTGCCTCCTGAAAAAGCCCCTTTGGGATTCAAAACAACAACGACAAACAGGCCATTTGTTGGTGAGCTGGTGCCCCGATTGCCCAGCACAATTGATGGGGCACATTCCCCATTTCAATTAACCCCAGCTTGACCCAAAGGCGATTTAACCACAAACTGCATTCAAGGAGAGTAAACAGATGGTTTCTAACCATTCCTTGGAGACCTGCCACGGTTAGTTTGCATGGGGCAAGAATTATGGCTTGGCTCAGCACTGAACAGGGCACCAGCCTGTTCCAAAACTGCCAGATGTGATATATCGCCTTTGATGGATTTGAATACAGGCCTCTCCTGAGCAGCTTCGGCCTTGAAGTGCTGGGTCTGTTTGCAAGCAAATGTTCTCCTACTTCCAGATTTTCAAAACAATGCTTGGACCAGGTCCATTCTTGTACGCTGGTAAAATTTGGGGAGGGTCTTTTTTTGTTTCCATAGCAACAGGATGGGGTGATTCCCAGGCTTTGGTGGTGGTGGTGAGTAACAGATGGTTGGATTCATGTAGCAGCTTGATTTCGGATTCTATATTAGATAATGCAGAAATGTCTATATGAGGAGAGAAGAGCAACAAAGATGGTTAGAAGGGATGGAGGCTCAAATATATGAAGAACGGTTGCAGGAACTGGGTGTGTCGAGTTTAATGAAGAGAAGGATTAGGGGAGACATGATAGCAGTCTTCCAATATCTCAGGGGTTGCTACGAAGAAGAGGGAGTCAAGCTGTTCTCCAAAGCACCTGCAGGCATGAGAAGAAGCAATGGGTGGAAACCAGTGGAGGAGAGAAGCAATTTAGAACTAAAGAGAAATTTCCTGATAGTTAGAACAATTAATCAGTTGAACAACTTGCTTCCAGAAGTTTTGGGTGCTCCATAACTGGAGGTTTTAAGGAGAGACTAGACATCCATTTGTCTGGAATGGTGTAGTGTCTCCTGCTTGTCTAGAAGACCTCCAAGGTCCCTTCTAACTCTATTCCGATTAAGAATAATTAACTAGTGGAAGGATTTGCCTGCAGAAGTTGTGAATGCTCCAACTCTGAACGTNCCTGAGCCGGTGAGATTTGAACCGCTGACCTGCTGATCTAGCAGTAGCCTGCAGTGCTGCATTTAACCACTGCGCCACCTTGGCTCAGAGTTCCCCAGCTAGCATAAGTTTTAGTCCCGCCTTAGGCATGAAAGCAGGCTGGATGGCCAATCACCAGGAGACTAATTCTAGTTATGGCTGGGGAACTCTGGGAATTGAAGTCCACAAGTCTTGAAGCTGCCAAGGTTGGACATCCTTGGTCTAAGGTAATGTGTTTTTTTTACTCTGGCTGGGGAATTCTGGGAGTTGAAGTCCCCATATCTTAAAAGCTGCCAAATTTGCAGGCCCCTGACCCTAAAGGAAAGGGGAAGATTCAACAGGCCCACTCTGTGTGTTTTTCCTTTAGGAATTCCTAGGTCCTATGTGGAATCGCCAGAGGACTACCCCCGAAGGGAAGCCAAGCAACTCAAGAGGGAGAACACACCACCAAGGGATTTAACAGAAGCTTACAAAGTCAGGAGCCACGAGTCCCTCACTCCGATGAAGGTGAAAGCAGTCCACGAAGGGCTGGTCACCACAGTGAAGGAAGCCGGGCGATCGATTCATGAAATTCCGAAGGAGGATCTTCGACGCACACCCGATCTCTCTCTGATGGCCCGGCCCATTAAGGAAGGATCGATTACCCAGGTAGATTACACAGGGCTTGAAATAAATCCAATTTTTGTTACAGTCCTAGATGAGCATATAGGTGTTGGTGTGGCAGAATTCGGAGAGTGGGGAGGTTGGGAAACATGGGCCAGTCTTGGAGTCTGGAGAAGGCTCTGGTGAGGGCTCTGTGTCGAAGGCAGAGAGGGGGCCAGGGCCGTCTGACAGTTGTCAGCTGCCTTCGGAGTCGGACATCAGTGGGGCAGAACAGCTGGAGCCTGTTTCCAATTTACACATGTGCAGAATTGCCAGACGAAGGGAAGAGCTAAAGAACAGTGGTTGACTTGGAAGTAAGGCCACAGGTGGAGAGTGAATGGCCCCTCCCAGAGGAAATAAAAGAGGAGCGAAAAGGGAGTGAAGTTTGCAGGAGACAATTAGTTCGCTTCATTGGTTCATGACTCTCCAAGACTCCTGGCCAAGTTCTGCAGATATCGGCCTGGCAGTTCTCCAAGCCAGAGAAGGTCTGTGACCGTAAATCCTCCCTTGAAAGACTTTGCTGGATGTGAATGAGCAGAATTCACAGTCAATTAATAAAAGGGTTTTCTGCCGGGACTAGGAGTTTGCTTCAGGCTCTTGGGAAGCCTCAGTCAGAAGATCAGGGGTCGGGGACTTCTGGATTATGGTCTTGAAGGTCTAATCCTTGCTAGCCGTTAAGGACAATGTTAGGTGATACCATCTGCCTTTCTGCATCTCAGGAAGTTGATTTGATCACCAAATTTCTGCCCATGCTGATGGCCTTCGTGGTGGATGACTACACCTTCACTGTGGAACAGAAGCTGCCCTCGGAAGAGAAAGGACCAGCGTCTTACCCCAGCGCCATCCCTGAGATGTTTCCAAAGTGAGTCATTTCAGATTGGGATACCTTTGCCCGTCGGTCAGAACTTTCTGGTTGGCAGAGCTATCAAGGTGGGCTTCAAAGACCGAAGCCAAAATGTAGGTCGTTACTTACAGCCACTGACCATCACAACTGGGACCAGAATGTCCGTTGGTAAGCAAGGCTGCTGTTCACCCCCCTCACTGAGAATTCGGGGGGGGAAAGCATTGGGTGGGGGTAGGAAATGAAAGTGTTAAGGCACCTGGCAAGAGAGCAGGAGTTCTAGTCCCATTTTGCTATGAAAGCCAGCTGGGAGACTTTGGGTCAATCACCAGGAGACCGTGAGTTC